AAAAGTCTGAGGACAAGTCTGAACTTCTTTTCCTCGGTTAAAATTCAAAGTTGTCTGCTAGATTTATAAGGCATAACAATATAAAAGTCTGAGGATAAGTCTGACTTTTATATCTGACTTTTATATTGTCCAAGTTGCTTTTTTTTTTGTCCAACTCAATTCCTTTTTTGTTTGTCACTTTCAGGAATATCCCCATTCATAAGTCCAAGATCTACATTTATGAATTGAAAAGTCCGAATGATCCACATTTTTTAGAATCAATAGGTCTTCAAATCGTTCGTAAGACATACAAGTATCAAAATCTGAGAAAATCAAAGTTGTAAGTCTGAATTTAACTCTAAAATGGCCTCCAGACTTCTGAGTATTAATGTAGGAATTCAAATGAAGTCTGAACTGTGAATTTAACTCTGAAGTGGCCTCCAGACTTCTAATTCAGACTTGTAAGTATGAATTTTGGAATTCAAATAAAGTCTAAGCTATGAAGTGTTCCGAAAATCTAATGACCAAATCGTAGCTTTCCCCTCAAACGGTCGAAAACTGCCAGCCAAGGGCTCTGCCCCTTGGAGGACCCCGCCAACGGGGGCGCTGCCCCCGGACCCTCGTCGTTTATCATGATTACATTGGTCAACAAATTAATCTCATTACACTTAAATAACATTAGTGATACAAATCACCAACATGAAATTATCAAATATTGGTTATTTCTCAAACTTACAACATAACTCTGAAATTGTTCTGTTCCAAACTTAGTTCTATAGTTTATTCCCAGACTTAGAATACAACTCTGAACTCCTCTTTAGAGTTGAAGTTCAGAGTTACGTTTCTGAGTTATAAGAAGTCAAAATTCTTGTGACTCAGAATTATGCTTATAGATACTTTCTAGACTTATAAACAACTCTAAATTCCTCTTATTCAGAGTTAAGTCAAGAGTTATTTTTCAGCCTAACAATATAATTCTGAATTCTTGTGTTTCAGAGTTAATGTTCAAAGTTTTCTTTTAGACCTGAGTAAAAGTCTCAACTCATTTTGCTCATTTAAAATACCCCATGTAATACACAGGTTCGAACCTAGTGTGTGTATATATATATATATACACACACATATAAGATCCAGTTGAATGCAAATAATGCTGCAAAAATGGTTCCCCGGGCAAAAACCTTCCTCTAGTGTGGTTTTGGTTTGTATCCATCAACAGCAAAATTTCGAGTAGCGGCAGGGAGGGCGAGACGAAGCCCATCAAGTTCAGGTTTTGCAATTACTTGACAACCAAGCCGAGACCTGCAGGCACAACATAGAAAAAACGAGAGCTTTTTATGAAAAAATGTACCAAAATGTGAGTTATGACGCATAGTAAGAAAGATGATTACGTTTCGGTCAGCCCAAAAGCAAGATCTAGCATATCGTTCTCTTCGTCCGTAGGGTCCTCGAGCTTGTTGTACTGTTCCACATCCTGACCAATGCCAATAAGCTTTAGTACATGTGAAAACTGTAATTATTGCTCTATGAAATATTTTTAAGTGCTCATGGACAAGCCTGCAAGGGTGCGTTTGGTAGGCAGAAAGACTGGATGAGACTAGTCTAGACTGGACAAGCTAGATTGAAGTAAGCAGGTAAAAGGACTGAAAAGTTTTAGGATTTTAATTTGGGAAAATTTACATAAATGGCAAAAGCTGATAGGTGGTTTCACTTTTTAGCCATTTTCTGACCCAAATTCACTTTTTAGCCCATCCTTACACAGAAGACTTACACATATGCGTAAGGATTGGTTTTTGGCAAAAAAGATCCCTGACCAAATCCGCCCACATTAGGATTACTTGTCAACGGTTGATCAAATTTGATAGATTCCCCTTCTGAATGCGTAAGGTTTCTGCGTAAGGATTCCACTTTCTGTGTTAGGATTCTTTTTTTGGCCAAAAACCAGTCCTTACACATAAGTGCAAGTCCTTCTATGTAAGGATTGGCTAAAAAGTTAACTTGGGTCATAAAATGGCGAAAAGATGAAAATCTATTTGCTGATTGGCTATTTCTGTGACAGGGTAGATTAGTAATCCACCAAGCGTGTCACATCTCCTTGATTTTTGTTCCAACTATTTTGTTGGGATAGAAAAAATGCACTTTTGTCTGGTCCAATTGTAGGCATCAAGCGTGGGAAAACAAGTTTTTTTTATTTTATCATGTCTTGTAATGCATACCAAACGCACCCTAATAGCCCAAAGCAAGGACAAATCCTGCCTTTTAAGCATTGCTGCTGGCTCTTTTAAGCATGTAATAGCATACCATCACAATCACATGACAGGTGGAACAAGCAAGTGACCCTTCACATGCTCCTGTGATCAAATGTAAATCAAGGAGTTACAAATTAAGCAATTACGCTCGAAACGATTATAATAACCAAGTAAATGTGTAGATCAAATAGCAGAAAAGTGAAATGAAGTTTCAGAAAAGCCAGAAAATTTGCAGTTTGGCCAACCTTCAAGCTCTATGTCATTCTCATGGGCAGCTTCCAACATTGACATTCCAATCGGAACCTTGATCTCCTGCTCTCCATCTTTGTCAAAGAATGTCACTGAGATTCTGCAGACCGAGGCAGATTGTAACTAGAACTAGATGCTCAGAAAGAAAATTTGCAAAACAATACATCCCGGTATCCCACCCCCAGTGAGATGTACACAAAATTGCCCTTTACCTAAAAAAGTTGAGTGACTGATTATGTGAAGACCCGGGATTGGGCGAAGTGTGTGAAAAGAAGTGATAAAACTTGCACCAAGTATTTGCGGAGAAAGAACAAAAGAACTTGAAAATAAGAAAGGCAGTGCTAAAAATTAAAAACAAGTTAGCATTGCAACAGCCCGTATACTGGTACCAATTTTGTGTTTTCTTACTGAATCTGTGGCTGAACAGGTTAGGACTCGATCTTGAGCCAATTTTATATCTGCTTTATTGACGAAAGCTAATAATGAACAGTCAACCTACTAAACTCAGCTTTTCATGTCAACATATTTGACCGCATCCGAACACCAACTATGAAATAGAGTTGGTTATGGTTCCATACACCCTTATCGGCGAGCCCTTACTCAAGCAGATGCTAATTACAGCCAAGAAAAAAAAGACATTACAACTTATTTGAAGTTCTCCTTGCTTGGAGTGGTTTAAGGATGAAGTTGAAGAGCGGGGTTTTCCATGTTTCTAAAAGGATATAAGCAGAGAGAAATAACGGTGGGAAGGGGGATAACAAATTATGATTCAACCTCTAAATCTAAACATGGATATTACAAATTTCTCTGCTAGGTGCTAAACTTTAAAATTTTGACTTCCATCTTAATGCCCTGTTGTTTCTTCATTTCACCTCATTCAGGTTACGCTTTCAAGCTTCAGTATTCTAAATGAAACCCTGTTCCACCTTCGTTTGCATGCCTATCGTCAAGATTTTTGAGCCAATTTTATATCTGCTTTATTTTCATATTTTCTTCCTCGTTCCAGTTTAAGATTCTTTTGGTGCATGATGTTGAACACACCAACAAGTAAGAAATAATTGTGCATATCGACGAAAACTAATGATGACCAGTCAACCTAGCAAACTCAAGCTTTTCATGTCAACATATTTGACTGCATCCGATCACCAACTATGAAATAGAGATGGTTATGGTTCCATACACCCTTATCGGCGAGGCCCTTACTCAAGCAGATGCTAATTACATCGTTGGCCAAGAAAGACATTACGACTTATTTGAGGTTCTCCTTGCTTAGGGTGGTTTAAGGATGAAGTTGGAGAGCGGGGGTTTTCACGTTTCTGAAAGGATAGAAGCAGAGAGAAATAAGGGTGGGAAGGGGGATAATAAATTATGATTCAGCCTCTAAATCTAAACATGGATATTACAAATTTCCCTGCTTAGTGCTGAACTTTAAAATTTTGACTTCCATCTTCATGCCCTGTTGTTTCTTCATTTCACCTCATTCAGGTTCCGGTTTTAAGCTTCAGTATTCTAAATGAAACCCCGTTCCACCTTCGTTTGCATGCCTATCGTCAAGATTTACATGTGAAGCGACTACATGATGCTATTTTAACACAAGGTTGCAATTTTTCCTTGATGTCCTAGTTTCATCTTGTATTTGACTATCCTTCCAATGTTTTCCTTTTCCAGGTTCCTCTTTGAGCTTTTAGTTTGATATGGCAGATTAAAAACCAGCTCATGTCCATTGGCATGTCTTCTATATTCATGTTGCAAATTGTGCTTTCTCAGCGGAATAAGCAAAATAAAAGAAATACATGATCGAAGTTCTTGATAGAACATATACTCACTTTTGGTTTTCTTCATTCTCTCCTTGTGAATTGCCAGGGGATGTAGTACAGAACAACTTATGACTCTGAAATAAATTATGCATATTAGAGTAGTCGAAAGGGAAATCTAAAGTTGTCAACCAATAAACAGCAAACAATAAATAAAACCAAAAACTTGATGCATATTAAACCAAAGTAGTCATTGGATTGGATTGTGATTGGAAATTATTACAGGACATGTGAGGTATGACCCAATGGCCAATTCAATTTAGATGTCATAAATATGTAAAGAACAATATATATGTATAAGTAATTACACTTGCTTACAATTGGATCATCCATGTTCAAATACATATTGCAACTTTAGACACTGCGTTTAGCTATTTTTTTTTGGTTTTTGCAGTCAGACTTTGACATTCTGCTGCATACAAATTCCATGGTTGGATTTATTAGAATGATTTTTTCTTTGAATCATGAAATAAATAAACAACAAATATTAGGTACCATTTTAAGCAAGGCCTAAGCCCATAGAGGCTAGCATGCTTCTCTATGAGGTGGCCGGTGGGTCGGGGTTAAAGCTCTGCAGACACAACTAAAAGCTATTTAAGATAATCATATCTGGATTGTCGTGACAGTTTCCAATTAAACACTAAACCGCATCTTGGAAATACCGGTCTATTTTACAATAATCATATAGATTAGTCATGACATTTAAGCTGAAAAGCCAAACTGCACCCAGCAAACAATTTTGCTAGTGATCAGTAGCCAATTTCATTTCTACAAGGACTATATTAAACTATAATCTATACCACCTTATAAAGCATATTAGCCAAAGTCTTAAAAACAACGTTTATTGCACTATGTACTACTAATTTATGCATAATTCTTAAAATCTCTCAATCACAAGTTAGCAAGCACACTTTACAACATGGTAAAGTATGCACCCTTCCTCAAATTTCTTACTGCAGATTTAGCTCTAATCGAGGTGACTTTTCAGGTTTCAAGGGAACGATTGATGCTCTCAAGGTCCCGCTCCGTAACAAATGGTTTTCCTAATCTTCGTCACATGCATTCACCAGTCACCACCGCAGTTGCAGCTATGGTCGGCGATCTCCCGAACGACCCTTTTCTCCATAAACCGCACTCCTATTTTGCCTCGCTGGATTCACATCAAGAGTCTCTGCCCTCTTTTTTGTTAGTGTTTTTCTTCCCAAGACAATCTATTACTGGAATGCATCATCCACACACGCCAAACCGGAAGAAGAAAACAGCAGGTTCTGAAATTTCAACTATTCATCGATTCAAATTTCAAGGATTCAGACTTCTTATGCATAATAGGGTTAAAATCCCATCCCTTCTCAAATCGTCCGGTGGTACCCATCCCTAAAAATCCCTAACCCAACGATGGAATTTTAAAGGGGTTGACTTGATACCTTGGTTTTAAAAAGCGTGATGCGGTAAGGGTCCCAGAAGCCGATGCGTGATGCGGATGCGCTTACATCACGCACATGATGCGCCCGGTATTCAAAATATACTTATAAATTAATTCTACATATAAATTTCTACCTTAAAAATACTTACCTATCAAAATACTTCATTTATAACATAAAGTAGTTCAAAAAGTGGCATTAGAATTTTAAAAAGTTCGTGAATCGGAATAATAGAACACACAAACTACTACCATGAAGAACACAAGTAAATGTCTAATAGTCCCCAATCCCTAAACTAAATGACCAAGTGACCAACTAATACTCCCCAAGATCAGCATCATCAAACCCCAACACGGGTTCATCTCCCTCATGAAACATACGGGATGCGATGATGCACGCATAAAGCCAACTAAAAAGCCCCAACACGGGTTCATCTCCCTCATGAAACATACAAAAAGCCCAACTAAAAACCTCTAAATAATGAAAAAGAAGCCCAAACATGAAACATACAGGATGCGTTGATGCACGCATCGTGTGATGCATAGGTAATGCGACCGCATCAGATAGCATCATGGAATCGCTTCGCATCAGTCTCTCTGATGCGTTACCTCTGGCGCATCGGAGCGCATTATGCGCGCATTTTTAAACCAAGCTTGATACCTCCTAATATGGCTATTCACTCTCTGTTCCTGTTCACAACTCTTTTTGTTTGAATCTTCAATTTTGTATTTTCACCACACCTTCCATCCATTTGCAGGTCATTGGTGAACTGTGTCAAGAATTTGATTTTAGGTTTTATTACGAATATGATTTTAAGGTTTTTATCAATTCTCTTTGTTCATCTATTCACTTGGTTCATGATTTTAAGGTTTTTATTACGAATACGAATCCAGGCATTTCATCAATTCTCTTGGTTCATCTTTCATTGCTACTTTACCATATGCTACTTCCATTCTGTTGGAAACACAAGTCTCTGTTGGGGGGTTTTGTTGCAGGGACATCTGGGAGTTCCATTTGGGAGTCCTTCACATAATTTCCAAATAACAAAAAACATAGAAAATTGACAAAACATTAGTAACATGAATCATGTTTTATGATTCCTAGCTTTGAATATTTGACATTGAGAACTCAAGCAGGCTTTGGTCTTGAAAAAACTATAGCTTTGATGTCAAAATTTGAGAACACCTTCTTGAGAATGAGAGAGCCATATAACAACCTTACACAGATCAACATTAGCAACAGCTCCATAACCATGACAAAGATGCATCACGTATTACTTTTACATTACACAGTACATCATAATATGAGTAAATCAATGACCCTCCGTATACTTGAGTGGAGTTATAGCACAAAAGCAGAATTTTTAAGTATGTGATCTGAATTTAATATCATTTCTATTGTGTAATTATAATTATTATAAGTTTTAACTGTTCAGCTCAACCATCTAATGTTACAACAATAAGATAGAATCTCCTTCCATTCTTCTAAACCCTTTATAGACTCGCATTAATTATCCACTTATTAAACAAATATGTTGCCATGTTACAACTGTAATAAGTTGACCAAAAATATGTTTTGATTTTTGCTGTATTGTTGTTTGTTGAATTTCATCTCATACCACTAATTTGGAAAATTGTATATGTTGTCGTGATTTGTTAGGATTTCTTATTTTATTAGTGTGTTTCTTTAACTGTCCACAGGCAGGGTAATGAAATTTTTGATACCACATTAAATCATAGAGAGATTTTTATTGGAGCAAGAGAGGAGGATGGAGAAGCAAAGAAGCAGAAGATGCTCAAGTCAAGTAAACCCGTAAATAAATAAGGTTACAATGCGCCTCTAACCTCTGTATTTGATCTATGTTTATGTATCTTTATCATGTTTAGGAGTGATCAACCTCCACCTACAAAGTCTACTTTATATTTTAGGAAGAGTTCCAGATGGCTTAAAAATAAGAAATCCCATGTTGTTTATGGACGGAGGTAATCATAGAGAGACGAACAATTTCCATATATATACTATCTTATAAAGGCATTTACAAAAAAGTCTTAAATACAACATTTTATGCATTAAGTACAACTGTTTTATGCATAGACTTTGAAAATGAATTCCTTCTCATCAATTTTACTTCTTCTGTTTATCTTTTCGAGACTGTTTTTTCAATTTGCAAAGTCGATCAATGGCGGTGGATGATTAAATTGGTATGGTTTCATCCAATATTTTGATCAGTCACCGAATCATTTTAACCATATTTGTACACCAAGATGTAAAATACAAATATTACATAAATAAGTTCTTTTTATACTTCAGTAGTAATTGGATTAGATTGGATAGATTTAAATATATTGGATTTTAAATTGTTATATAGTTTTTCGTTGATCAGCTGCAATTAGAATCATAACTTTTATTTATTCAAAATGTATTAATATGTAAAGACTAAGGGGGGTTTACTAAACCCTTACCCGGTAAATGCTTATCGGGTCACTTTACCTTATCGGATGAACAAGACAGGATTGACAATCTTACTCGGTAAAGAGCGATGACAAGGACCGAGAGTCTTACCCAGTAAGTGAGAGTGACGACTCTTATGCGGAAAGCACTTACCGGATACAAATGTTGCATATGATGTCGTTTTAATGAACTAAAACCTTACTCGATAAGTTGAATGGAAGTGTTTACGCTTACCGGGTAAGGCGTTGGATAAACGGCCCCTAAGTGTTAATATATCATCCTTAAAATCTCCTCTAACAAAACTACCAAAGCTTCAAAATCATTTACGTTCACGGCTTCCGCAGCATTGCACGGGTACACAACTAGTAATTTAAGACAGGCAAATCATGTACATGATTTTGATCAAGATTGGTAAAGAAGGAATAAAATTACTAAAATGCATTTATCCCTCTGTCCCCATAAAGACGTGCTCTCCTAGCATCTTGCACCAGTTAAGTGTCAAACACAAGTTACTTTGCTTTACAATGTCCAATCATGATATACTTCACCCAAACTGAAACAAATGCAGCTAAGCTTTATATGTCAATTGATTGCCAATGCTAGCTTTAGCATGCAATATATATAAGCACGCATAAACAGATTCATGCTTTATATTTGAGAAAGAAAAAGACTAACCAAGGGCTCCAGATAGTCATTCACTATAGGGAAATTTGACTTTTTTGATGGAATTGTAAGTGGGGCTGCAATTTGGAAAAAAAAAGGGGGGGTCAGAAACAGTTTAAACATCATTTATGAAGTGGTGCCTCTTTAGATCTAACCAACTTGAATGATTAAACATAAAATAGAGAAGCTAACATAGCTTATTGCAAACAAGTGAAATATGTGATGCTAACTTTATCTAACAACTGTAAATGTGGTATCCCATATCAGATCCCATATATGGCGCCTCCATACAGATGATCATGACCAAAGACAGTAAGTAAATGTCGGACCTCAAACAAAGTTGCAAGTAGTTGACACCAGTTGCACTTGCAAACAAAGTTGCAAACAGTTAAACAGACACTATCAATATCTAGACAAATCTTTGAGGTTTTCACTCAAACCAGGACACATGTGTACACAAAAGATGAAGTAAATATTTATCATACAGCTGGAATGAAGTTGAGAAAAAAATATACTAGCCGTCCTCATATAATGAACCTGATTTGCATCATATCAGCACGAATTAAAATTGTCAACAAATTTATATGTGCCACGTTACTTGGTTACCATCTTCTCCATTTAAGTTCAAAAGCATTTAAATACTAAAGAGTCAACAATAAAGGCCTACAAATACCTAGTAAGCATCCTTATCATAATGGATGACTCAAATAGAGGTAAAAGAAACATACGCTAACTGCACACAAGTTCTTCATCACTGCACTCATTTCGCATTCACAGGCTCAAATTTACAAGTTCCCTTTATAGCTACTACATTTAGTCCATTATCATTGCATTGATAGTATCATAATGTACAAAAACAGTGCGTATGGCACATTCCTAACTGCATATTGTTGATTGCAAAATGCATCCAAAGCAAAGTTCATGTTACAAAATTTTGTTGTCACCAAAAAGAATGTTGTAAAAACAAGAAAAAAATATATTAATATACAAAACCAACATAAAGCAGAAAGGCATACATTTCATGATGGGACTACAATTTATTCCAAGAAAAGAAAATAAACCAAGAGCTTAATGCTCAGTCTCTAAACCATGTAATCACAACCAATAGAGTATCCAAAAAAGATGAAAGACCAAACCTTTTGATAATCCCTTGTATGCCTGAGCTCCGAGTCTCGAAAATTTAGAAATGAACATAATAATGGAAGAACCACACAATCTGAAGAATCAACACAAAACATTAAAAAGGTAAGACTTGAAAATGCAAACTTCTTACTTAGGCAGCGTTTGGTATGCAGACATGATGGAAGAGGACAAAACTGGTCAGGATTGGACAGGACAAGAATATAAGACTAGACAGATCACAGAACAAGTGTCTAACTGGTGTTTGGTACGACCAGGACTGAACAAGACATAACTAGACAAGTTACCCCCAAAAGTTATATGATGATTTTTATATATCATATAATAATTATAATTAACAAAAACAAAGTAAATAATTAAATAATTTAATTTATAAACATTTTTACACAATTTCATATTACATATATACATAAATATATAATAGTACCAATTTGAATGAAACTTTTGATATAACTGATGGTAGTTTGAAAAAACCCGATTCGTACAAAGAAGAAATTATGTTTTATTCGGTTTGGAAGATCCTTATGAATTGGCGAAGGAACGGGTGAAGATTGTTGCAACAACAATGGTTGTAGAGGTAGAAGCATTGGTGATTGGTGGACGATGGTGGCTGTAGAGGACGCAAAGATGGTAGATAGTGGTGGTTGTAGAGGACGTGAAGATGGTAGATAGTGGTGGCTGTAGAGGACGTGAAGATGGTAGATAGTGGTGGCGGGTCAACAGTGGTGGGGGAGGTAGTTGTGGCAGATGTGGTGGAGATAGTGGTGGTGGTGGTTATGGTGGAGGTTTAGTGGTGATAGCGATGGGCGGTGGTGGTCAACGACCGACGGTGGTTGTGGAACTAGAGGCAGTGGTCGTTGGTGGATGACGGCAGTTGTCGAGGATGTGAAGATGGTGGATAATGGTGAGTGATGGCGCCAGTAGTTGTGGCCGAGGTAGTGGAGGTAATGGTTATGGTGCGCAATGGTAGTGGTAAGCGATGGTGGTGGTGGCGCCACCGGCAGCGGTGATGAATGGTGGTGGATGTGAGGTAATGGTTATGGTGCGCAATGGTAGTGGTAAGCGATGGTGGTGGTGGCGCCACCGGCAGCGGTGATGAATGGTGGTGGATGTGAGGTAATGGTTATGGTGCGCAATGGTGGTGGTAACCGATGGTGGTGGTGGTGGCGGCGGCCATGGACGGACCTAGAGTAGAGCACACGGTGGCACATGCCACCGTATTATTCTTCCGTCGAAGAGTAAAAAAATTTAGGTTTGTGAAAGGTGCAACCGTATTAATTTGTTGTGTGCCACCGTATGTATTTTGAAACTACAATAAGAACAAGTTTTATTTGGTAGAGTTGGTTTGCAAGGCTTATATTCCACCCCAGACCCATGTTCGAATCCTGTTAATGTCATTTTCTTAATCAAATGGTGCCAACGTTTGAAAAAAAACTCTGTACATTTGTTTCTTATAGTCAAATGGTGCCACTGTTTGAAAATGTTCCCTATATATTTTTCTTATAGTCAAACGATGCCACCGTTTGAAAAAAATTACGGGTCCGTCCCTGGCTGCGGCGATGGATGGTGGTGGTCGGTGACAGACAGTGGTGTAGCAATGGAAGGTGGCAGTTGGTGGTTGGTGGTTGACGATGGTTGTGGAGGTGGTGCAGGGTGTTGTTGTAGTGAAAGAGGTCATAGAGGCGGCCAACGATGGCTATCAGTGGTGACAGCGGTCGTGACTAGCGGCGGTGACCACTAAACCAAATATCCTAGTAAGGTTTATATATCAAAGAAAGTTAATTAGTAATACTTTACACCCAGTCTCATTCCTGTCCCATCTGGAACAAACCTTTTTTGTCTCACCTTGTCCTTTTTTGTCTCACCTTGTCCTTTTTTGTCTCACATTGTCCCACCTTGTCCCACTCCCATGTCAAACCAAACAAGGGACAGATCCCATGTGGCACCAAATATGGGACATATAAACAGCCACAAATTTCATCCACCACAGCCACTATATATATTTATTAAGCTGCTAAAGAACATGTCCTATATCATGTATCAAATCAAAAGGAAACACAAAACAACAGTTGGATTGGAAAGCAAATAATGTGTATATCCCCAAAGAATGGCTACAGAATGAGCCTCATTCTAACCTAAACATGCTCTACTTACTCTTATTATGTAATTAATTACCAAAAGTAGTTAGCCTGCTCCATCCAAATGTGCTTACTTCTTATCAAAAGTGCTGTTAGCCTGCTCCATCCAAATGTTTGCCAGAAATTGCTTCCTGGCATTCTAGACTACATGAAATGAAGTTTCTTGATTCCTTGTTATCACAAGTTAATAAATACCACAGGTACTAAACTAAACATGAAGTGCTTGAGATCCAAATGAGCCTCATTCTAACCTAAACATGAAGTGCTTGATATTATAAACTATCAAAAAAGGTCACCATTCAGTAAACACCACAGGTAATAAACTAACAAATTTTCTATTTTTTGTTTAAAATCTGTTATGAATCTCCCACACAACCAGGTAATAAACTAACAAACTAATAAATTGAATTCGATATCACAACCGGTGAAAACCCAGCTGGAGCTTCTTTCTACAGGTAATAAAATCCACATAAAACTCATTCACGAGAACTTGAGCTGTCCATAGACAGATTTCAGAATACCCAACAGAAACATAGAAACACTGTTTCAAAAGCATAGAAATCGTACGCAGGCAAAGAAGCGAGATGAAGAAATGGAGAAATCGTACCGATTGCAGATGAGAGGAGGCGATGGGAGGCGATGGAGGCCGGTGGAAGAAGACGATTGAGCCGATGTTGAAGAAGACGATGGAAGAAGACGAGGACGTGACGAAGGAGGCGATACTTCACAAATGGTGGGGATAATTTAGTTTTTCTATCGGAAGAAATAACGAAGGGTAATGCTGTCGTTTTATATTTGGTCCATCTTGTTCCACTTTTTTTGAAAAAAAATATTAACTTTTGTCTTATGAAATTTAAAAACAATCTTATCTTATCTTTTTTGTTTATGACATGTCAAATATGATACTATTTTTTTATACCGTCTCGTCCCATGTAGTATGCATACCAAACGCATTCTTTAAGTATGTTATTTGATCCCAAGAAAGAAACATTTGGTGGACAGAAAAAAAAAAAATTAGAATTTATCGTAGAAAGATCAAAAACCCAAATACAACTAACTAGGTTTATACATGACTGCCATATGAGGAATACAGAGACAAACATGACTAGCATATGAGGTTTATACATAACTAATTAGGTTTTCATTTTATTATGACAATTACAATAATTAAAACCAGACATTTTGATTTCCAAAAAGGGGAAAACATGTGGTAACAAAACAATTCAACTTGGTGTACCTTTCTTCGTGTCCATCCTGAAGATCCTAACAAGGAATAACGAAGGTTCTGCGAGACGAAATGAAGGCGTGAGAGAGAAAGAGTTGGGTTTTTCAGGTTTTAGGTGGTTCTGAACCGACTTTACAAATTACAATAAGAGTAAATTACAAATTTTGGTCCCTGTGGTTATATTATAATTTCAGAGTAGGTCCCCAAACAAATTAATTATCAATTTGATTATTGTGGTTTCGGTTTTACTGCATATTGGGTCCTTAAATATAAACTCGTTACTTTGGAGCAGTTAGACACCCTCATCACCTCATGTGCTCCCCACCTGAGGGGAATAATTGCCATTATAAAAAATACCCTCTTCTTTAATATTTTAATAAAAATCTTTCTCACCATCACTCTCTTCATTACCCCCATTGTTTTGATGTCATTACTTTATCAAACGGATTAAAGTTATCGAATAGATTAAAAATATTAAGGAGAGATTGTTTTTAACATGACAAATATGTGTTGTCACATAGGCATGGCAACGGGGCGGGGATGGGACGGGGTTTGCAATCCCCGGGCCCGGCCCCGGTTTATATCCACAGTCTCCGGCCCCGGCCCGGGTCCCCGGCGGGTACGGGATTTACTTTTCGTCTCCGGTCAAATTTTGGTCAACACCCGGTCAACAGACCCGTACCAAGACCCGGTAAAATTAAATTTAATGTTTTTTTTCAAGCAACATCATCGTTACATCGTGATACATATGTTGTCATAATGGGTTTAAATGTTTACCCTAAACAGATGTTGTCATAAATAAGTAGCATTGAATAACTCAAAGAACCCACATCAATTATGAAATTAGAAAAACCAAATCTTTAGGGTGTTACTGTTTGGGTTTAGAAAAAACAAAGACAGACCTCGTTTGATCGAAGAAGACGACCGGTGGCTATGGCTCACTGCTGCAAATCGATGAAGAATTAGAAGACGATTAGGGCGCGGCTCGTGGGTTGTGACGAGGACGAGCCGGCCGACGATGGCTGTGACGCTAGTCGACGGCAACAACAGTCAACACAGTGTGGTGTGTGCAGTGAGCCGACGACGACGAGGGTTGTGAGTGTGAGCCAGATCCGACGGTCGGTGCTGTGTAGTGTGTCCCATGTGGCTGTGTGATTATGTGAATGAGAAGAGAATGAGTGTTCGTGTGGAGTTGTGGACTATGGTGTGCGTGACTGAGTCTGAGTGTATAACCAAAAGCCCAAGCCCAAAAATGAAATATGAAATAAGTCAATATTGAATATATCGAGTACGGGACGGGGAATACAATACCCGGCCCCAACCCCAACCCCGGTTTGCCTCTACTGGGGATCCCCGGTCCCGATACCCGTTTTAGCGGGGAATCCCCGTCCCCGTCCGGGTCGGATCAAATCACCATCCCTATAATGTCACATAAGGTGTCTGGTTCCAAAATAACAAAGTTTAAAATAACGAAATTGAAACCATGGGGACCGAATCTGTAATTTACTTTTACAATAATTAATCCTTATGCCGTTATGCCTTTTACCTTTATTCCACTAAAAAGAAAGCAACCAAAACATTGGAGATGCGGGGTATCGAACCCCGTACCTCTCGCATGCAAAGCGAGCGCTCTACCATGTGAGCTACATCCCCATTTTGTTTCTGGATCCGAAAGAAATAACTATTAGTCGTTACATGTGTAGGAGGGAAAAAAAGAGAGTTAACCTTTTGTCTAATAAACACTCGTCAAACGTTTTAAGTTGTTATCATAAAAAGCAAAAAGTTGTTGTAGAATAAATGTGTCATCGTATAAAGAATATAACGATATAGATAGAGATAGATTATAACTAATATATTATGTACTTGTAACTCATCAATATTTAAAGGAATTTTGATTAATGATAATTATAGATTGGTTCTCTAAACTTATTGTTGTTCTATTTTATTTTTCTATATATCAACATGTAAGTTCTCATATGCTTACTGCTATCTGCCACCGACGACGAACAAAGCAAATCCATTATCTTTGATTCTCTCTCTTTAAGGTTTGATTATCTCTCCCTGTCATCTCGACCCGAAGAAAACATGTTTGAAGTTCATTGTGTTATCTACTAGAAAATTCGGTTGAATTTTTGATTTTCAATTTGCATTAATTTTGGGTGAATTCTTATTACATACGAGGTTATTTCATGTTGTTCAGTAGCTTTTTCAATCGGATTGGAGGGCAGACGTGAAGATACTCCCCGAGCAGTATGAGTCATGGTGAGAGCTTGGAAATTTCTCTTTGCTGATTTTGTTATTACGTTGTCATAGCGGTTAGTGGAATTAGGGTTTTTGTTGTCATAGTGATTAATGGAATTAGGGTTTTTGTTTTCATTGCTTTATTTCTCTACTAGAAGGGTGCTTGCATAATGCAGCGATGTACATTTCAATTTTAATGTTTCATTTTTTTTTTGTCTTGGTCGATGTTATAATACGATTTGATTTTAATGTTTCATTTTTTTGGTCCCAGTCAATGTTATAATACAATTTGATGTAGTTTTGAGAAAAAGATAATTTTTTATTTTTGAATAAAATATAAATATGAAGATATATCATAAAAAAATTGAAAAAAAAATTGGTATTAGTACCAAACTAACTATTAAAAATTTCTCCTTTTTATGTGTTTCTTTAATTCAATTTTTGATTTAATAATATAATTTTTTATAAAGATAATTATTTAGTATTTTGTTAGAACTCAATAATTATCCTACTTATATTTTAAATTTTTTATATTTAAAATGAGATGTTTATCATGTATTTGATTATGTTTATCTGCAGTTAGTTACACAAATTTAAACATGAAGCTTTAATAAGTTGTACTTACGCACAACTTACTTGTAATCTTGAAAATTAAGATTATATAGCAATACATAATGCTTAAAAAATTGTTTTTAATAGATTATGTCAAATGCTTTATAATATAACTAAAAGGGTACTCGCGCAATGCAGCGAGACACATCTCGATTTTAATGTTTTATTTTATTATTTGTTTATGTCGATGTATAATACGATTTTATGTGTTTTTAAGAAAGCAATAGTTATTTTATTTTTGAATAAAATATAAATTTGAAGATATCATAAAAATTTGAAAAAAAAATATATCAATGTTAATATAAAATCAACTATTTAAAAGTTCTTATTTTTTATATAATTTCTCTAATTTATT